ATGTTCACTGTGAGAACTATGTAAAATCTTTTGAACTTGCAACTTATGTTAAATGGATAACTACTTAACTTTGGTTGCATACAAAAATTCTTAATCTTTACCTCTGCCCTCACCTTTATGATATTGATGTCAATAATTATATCTCTTTATATTGTATACAAATTAGCACATGGAAATGATCATTTTTTTATTTTGCCTTTCAAATTTTATAGCATAATTAAATATTTTGCACCATCATGATGATAATGCAGAATATTATTCTTGATATGTGCATATTTTTTCCCAGAGAGTTATGTAGTTGTCATGGAAGATAGAAACCAGCCTTTGTAAAGGCTATAAAAAGACAGATGTGTGGACATGTGCCTATAGCTTCATTCTCTTTTGATAGGAAATTCAGGACATGGGATTTTTCTACTAAAGTGATAACTCACTATCAGCATGGAGGAAGGGCTGTGGTGGGTAAATGCAACAAAGTTTCCTTCCCCTTTCATGTGGTTTTTGGTGTTATTCTAATTTGGTTTTCTATGAATAATTACCAGTTATGATTTCTAAAAGAATTATGGTTGTCAGTATATTTTTAATTTCATACATCTATGATGGAAGTAATACCATGGTATTCTATTGTGCTTCATTGCTAATGTGCTTTCTATAGTTTTATATATTCAAATTATGAAGTATATTCACCTGAGTCTAGTTAGTGAGATACTTTGTTATTTTCATTTCTTTCAGAATTGTCTTCAAATTGCACCAAAGACCTATTGGTAGAGCAGGGCATAAAAGATCCATTTCAGAAATCAATAATGAGACTATGTGGAAGCTGTGGCCTTGAAAATATACACTTAAATAGAGATTGGGAGTGTGTGGTTCAGTGTAAGAAGCATAAAGTATGTTCTGATAGTCTTACCCAATGTTTGTCTACTTGCCATAGAAAAATCTTTAAATGCTATAAATGTATAAAAGTCTTTAGCAAATCATCAAACCTAAATAGACACAAGACAAGACATACTGGAGATAAAACTTTCAAACTTACTGAATGTGGCAAAATTTTTAATCACAGCTCTAATGTACCTGGACATAGGAAATGTCATACCAGAGAGAAACCCTACAAATGTGAAGAATGTGGCAAAGCCTTTACCCATTGCACACACCTTACACGACATAAAATAATTCATACTGGTGAGAAACCCTACAGATGTGAAGAATGTGGCAAAGCCTTTACCTGGTGTACAAACCTTACTCTACATAAAAGAATTCACATGGGAGAGAAACCATACCAATGTGAAGAATGTGGAAAAGCCTTTACCCAGTGCATACACCTTACTCAACATAAAATAATTCATACAGGAGAGAAACCCTACAAATGTGAAGAATGTGGCAAAACCTTTACTAGGTGCACACACCTTACTCATCATAAAAGAATTCATAGTGGAGAGAAACCCTACAAATGTGAAGAATGTGGCAAAGCCTTTACCAGGTGCACACAGCTTACTGAACATAAAAGAATCCATACTGGTCAGAAACCCTACAAATGTGAAGAATGTGGCAAAGCCTTTGCCTGGTGTACAAACCTTACTCTACATAAAAGAATTCATACTGGAGATAAACCCTACAAATGTGAAGAATGTGGCAAAGCCTTTACCCGGTGCACACACCTTACTCAACATAAAAGAATTCATACTGGAGAGAAACCCTACAAATGTGAAGAATGTGGCAAAGCCTTTACCCCGGTGCACACACCTAACCAACATAAAAAGAATCATACTGGAAACCCTAACAAAAGAATTGTGAACAAAGCCCTTAACAAAACCAGTCACACAACAACCTTACACACCATCAAAAATCTCAAACAGAACACTAAACAAAAAGACATGACAACAACATACAGTAAAGAGACACACACTAATCCCAACAATAAAAACCAACAAATGCTGAGAATCAACATGTTCCCATCCCACACCTAATCATAAAAATTCATATCAGAGCAAAATTCCTAACGAATGTTAAAATTGGGGCAAACTCCTTTAAATCCTCCATCCACCTGTCCACATCAAAAGAAATCATACTAATTAAAACGAATACAAGAAAATGGAATGTAAGCTGCTTTACAAGTATAGCCTAAAAGCACAACATATTTTAAAGAACAAAAATAAGAGAGCGGGCTGACAATACCTTAGTATAACAGAACTAATTGGGACATGGCAGGCACTTATACCTGAAAGCAATGCTCCAAATTCTCCAACATTTCTCACATCACCACAAAAATAAGTGAGAAAAACCCTACAAATATATAGAATGTTTGAAAAATCAATAGTCAAAAGTAGTCTTAGAGATCAACAACTTATACTGTACAAACACCTAAACGAAAAACAGAG